ATGTGAAACTGGAAACACTGAAACTATTAGAAGAAAATATTTGCAGTAACTTACAGGATATAGGTATAGGAAAGGATTTTCTACATCAGACAGAAGTTACTCAGGAATTAAGGTCAGCAATCAATAAGTGGGACCTTGTTAAACTAAAAAGCTTCTGTACAGCAAAAGAAAAAATCAAAAAAGTGAAAAGAAACCCCACAGAATGGGAAAATTTTTTTCACCAGTGACACATCTGACAGAGGTTTAACATCCAGAATATATAATGAACTCAAAAAACAGAATCAAGACAAGAAGTAATCCAATTAAGAAAAGATGGGCTAAAGATCTAAACAGAGAGTTCTCAAAGGAAGATATAAAGATGGCTAAGAAACATCTCAAAAAGTGTTCAACATTGTTAGTAATTAGGGAAATGCAAATTAAAACCACCTTAAAGTATCACCTTACCCCAATCAGACCTGCTAAGATCAAGAGAACAAATGATACAAAATGCTGGTGAGGATTTGGAGAAAGGGGAATCCTCATTCACTGCTGGTGGGATTGCAAACTTGTGCAAGCCCTATGGAAAAAGGTAGCTTAAAAAGCTAGAAATTAATCTACCATATGACCCGGTTATACCACCCCTTGGCATATACCCAAAGGATTCATCCTATCGTAGAGACACTTGTACAACCACATGTGTTGCTGATCTTTTCACAATAGCTAAGACATGGAAGCAACATAAGTGTCCCTCAACTGATGATTGGTTAACAAAAATGTGCTATATTTACACAATGGAGTTCTATTCTGCAGTAAGGAAAGATGAAATAATGAAATTTGAAGATAAATGGATGGATTAGAGACTGTTATACTAAGTGAAATAACAGACTCAGAAAAACAAAGGACATATGTTCTCCCTCATACGTGGTTCCTAGCACCAAATCCTTTTAAATTCCAGGACCTTTTAATAAGGTGATGCTATACAGCAGTCCCTTTTGCATGAAATAACTACAATCATCATGACTTCAGCTGAGCCTGATCACTAAACATAGTCAAAATTGGGCTTGTTGATGGTTGTGCTCATTCATTAAAGGAGTGCCAAGCAGCGTCACTGGACCTTCACCTGACTATCCAGCCACTCTTCCCAGCCAACTATACCAGCCTTGGAAGGCAAAAGAAAAATGAGGAAGAACCCAATAGAGGGGTGCTTTTGGAAGCCCTTGTCAAGAAACTCCAGTGGACTCTCATATGAACATTTGAAAATTGCCCTGTTCTGACTTTTTTTCTAGTTCCCTGTCTAGAACTTGTGATGCTAATTACTCTTGCCTTTACTTCTCCTTCACATCTCCTATTCACAATTCAAAGACTTTCTTTTCCCCTTAAAGGTAAGAGTTATAGAATTTGGGAATCTTTTGCTTCATCCTGTGTCCCTGTTTAGCATGGAAGAAGCCAGAGCAGGTCTGCGTCCCTATTCCCAATTGGCAATTTGGGTTAACTCCTTCAGAGGATGGTGTGATAAGAATAGGAGGTAGGAATTGGCTAGGCAGTTAGGGTAAAAAGACCCCAAAGAAATATATCCAGTTTCTGGGCTAAAAGTCAAAATGTCCTTGGGCCTGTTAGCAGCACATTCTTTTCCAAAGGCAAAAAATGTCAAAATGTCAAAAATATTTGGGAGCTTGTATCTAATCCTTAAAAGATTTTAGTGTTACCTCTTCGGAGGGGGAATTTTGGAGGGGAGGGAGTGGGCATGGGTTTGATCAAAACAGCTAATATGCATGTATGAAATTCTCATTCTACAAAAATAAAGTTTTTGTAAAAGTTAAAAAAAAGAGAGATGATATGGTAAATTGTAAGTGAATATTTATTACTTGTGTTAACTACAACTGGTTTTTAAATTTCATATGCTATTACAAAATATAGATTTAAAGTCATATCTGATTTTTAGAAATGCTACTTAATTTTGCATTCCACTACCAAAAATGATCATTTATAATGCAATATGAAAAGTTTAAGTTTTAGAACTGAAACGTGGGTTTTCCTCTATCTTCAATAGGAAGGAAATAGGGTTCAGGCATAGAAAGGTGACTTTTCCTTAAAAAAAAAGAAGAAGAAATCAAAATAGTAACATACAGACAAATCAGGCTGAAATAGTAAAGTCTAGGGAGCAGGGGAGATAACTCAGTATAATGCCTGTCACCCAGGAACAAGGATCTCAATTCAGATCCCCAGCATCTGTAACTCAGGTGCTGGAGATACAGGGACAGGTGGATCCCTGAGGCTTGCTGGCATCCAGCCAGCCTTATCAATTGGTAAGCTCCAAAAATCACTGAGACACCCTTTCTTCAAAGATAAGGTCGAAAAGTCATTGAAGAAGATACCTGCTGACTTCCACCCTCCGTATAATGCACATACATGTGTACACACCACCATACACTACCATTTGTATTCACAAACAACTATTTGTACCCCCACACATACTGACATACATGTGCATCTCTTTCCCCCTCCATGGATACTCACCTAATAAATAGAAAGAAAGGAAAATGTAGATAAAATATGTCCAACAGAGTGGATACAGTCAAACTCTAATCCATAAGCTCAGGACCACTGTGCTCTTATGCCTGACCTCACTCACAAGGCTACAGAATTCAAGTGGTGAGAACACCTCCCTGTCAACAAATGCTGCCCTATCAAAGGGGGTGGGGTAGATTTTTTAGGTATTCCATCAGTTCTCCTTCATTGGCTACCTGAGAAGCTGTTTTGAAGGCCCTTCATCTATTCATGAGTTTGTAAATGTCCAAAAGAAATAAGTTCCATGTGGCCTTGGCTAGTTGATCATTAAAAGAAGTTTATCAGTGTCCTTTCTAAACAATAATCCAGGAGAGAGCTCTTTTGGTGCTTTCTTATCAGTGATAGGAATAAAAAAGTTTTGATTTGTTGGAGTTAGTGATACACATACAGAGAAAGACATTTAAAAAAAATTGTACTTTTTGCAAAATAAAAATAACAGCAACATACATGTGGATTGTGATTGCTGTAGCTCAGTGCTATAGCACTTGTCTGGCATGCATGAGGCCTGGGTTCCATGTGCAGTACTAACAGAGGTAGAATAAAAGGGAGAAAATTTGTGAAGAAAAATAGTCAATGATAAATGAAAAAGGACACTTTCAAGGAGATATACATAAGCAACCAGGAAGACATTAGCATCTGAAAATGAAATAGTATTTGGTGTAGATATTGTCACAGTTATAAATTCCATCTTCCATGAAGTGAATCCAAGACCTTTAATGACACAATCATAGAAACACATTACACATGATCACATGTTAACTAACAACTTCTGCTACACTCTGAGGAAATCACGCTGAAGTTCTTTGTCAAAATGTTTATATCTAAGCATACTGCTATAAACAAGTGAAAGAGTTTGAAGATATTTTGACATTTTTAAACAAAGGGGGAAAATATCAAGTAGATTAAGGCAATCAAATCTGATGTACTTTGAGTTTTGGGGATAGACTTATCAAATTCACAGAGAAAACTTTCCTAGACATAATGGAAGAAGCTTACCTGTGAATTTTCATCCCAACTTTGAATAGTTACTTTAAATAGTTCCTTTCTTTGCTCCGTCTTTGCAAAGCAGGCCATTGAAGCCTGAATTGATATAATTATGAACTCAGATTGTTAGAGACCTAGGCCAGATGGTGATGGTTTGTAAAGTCCCAGTTGCTTGTGATAGTTCTAGTTTGTCTATAGGGTTTGAGGATCAGCATTTTGAAAGGGTTTGCAAACTGATAAAACAGTGTTATTCATGGTGGCAGAGTGTTCATCAGCATGACCCAACACTAAATACTTTCATTACAGGCATTCCTATTCTGCACAGTTTGCCACATAGTACTGGTTTCAGGAGGGGGAAAAAAAGACAATGGCTTATAAAACGCTCCTGCATGCCTAAACCAAGGGAGAGTTCATGCTGGGATCTTCTGTTTTCTCTTTTGGAAAGAACCTTCTTTGTGACTTTAGCTGAGCTCTACTGAGAGTAAGCAAAGTGGAAAAATCAGAAAATTACTTTTTTTTTTTTATATATGTTTCTGGGGGGCAAAATAGAGTGGGAGAAAATAAATGGAAAATAAGTGGCAGCGAGAATCTGTGAAGCAGAGAATAAATATGTAAGTGGCTGAGGACAGCTGTGGAATGATGCAAGGTGGGGCGGGAGCAGCGAGAATGGAGCCACAGTGATAAACTTAAAAGGAGCTGCAGAGCAGAAAGAACATCATAAATAATCATATTTTCAAATAAGAATACCATATCAGCATCTGTGACCTGGATACAGTACCAACCTCCCTAGATATTTCTAGCACTCCAATGCACACAAAATGCAATTTTCAGCTCAGGCATTTTATTTGTCAGTGTAAACAACCTTTGGTTTTTTAAAAATACATATCTGGAAACTCTTTTCATAAATAATGCATATATTATAAAAATTTGACTTGTAAACTATTGAGTCCACATCCTTTCAGTATTGTGAAAACTCACGGCAGATAGATAGCACCTTTTGGGTAGAAATTGCAAGGCTAAAGCTAGAAGTGTCTTTTGCCCAAGATAAACAGGATTTGTTTTTTAAGTGCAGGACAAAGACATATAAGGAACAATTTTGCTTAAACTCAAAGAAAGGGCTGATATAAGGTAGAATTATATTTTTAATTCGTTCCTAATTCTGAGGTGTCCTTGTAAATCTTGCTAATTAAGGGAAATCAGGGGTGCAAAATAGCCCTTTTCTTATCTTCAAAGAATAAAGATGAAAGAAAACAGAAAATGAAACCTCTGCACTTGGGCTATTCTTAAAACAGCTTCAAGAAAATCAGCTTTGTGCTCTTTGGAGAAAGGAACCAAGTATTTGCCCAGGGGGAGGGGAAGGCGCATAATTAAAGGCAAGTTTCCCCATTTTATTAAATTCCTCCACCAACAAAATACACTTGGAGGTATTTTAAGTGAAACCAGCACTTACGGAACTCTGAAAAGCAGCATGATTACATGTTTATGGCAGAAGAAAAGGGCAATTAAGAAAACAAGAACAATTTAAAGTGCCGTGTAAGTAAAGGCGATCCGAAGTTGATTTAAAGTTTTTTTTTCTTTCTTTCTTTCTTTCCCTCTTTTTTCCCCTCCCTCTGCTGTAATTTGTCTCTTCTTTGTCGTGGCAGTCTAGGAGAGAGTGGATGCAGGCTGGAGGAGGGGCAGGAGAGGGCGGGCTCCCACCTCCCGTCGGCCGCGCTCCCGCGTCCCCCAGCCTTCTCCTGCCCGCGCCGCAGTCCCTCCCGCTCCCACCCTCCACGCGCGCCCGCCCTAGCTCGGGTGACTCCAGCAGCCTAGGATTTGGAAGCTCGCTGATTGGCTGGAAGCGATTCAACACTCGCCAGGCAAAGAGCTTTGTCTGAGTTGAAGTGAAGTTGTAGAGATTTTCAGACCGGAGTCAGCAATCACGGGTGTTTAGTCTGCAGCGGAGCAGAGAAAAAGGAGGGGAAAAAAAAAAAAAAAAAATCAAGAATCTCCCTGGGAAGACACACTGCAGACTCCGCCCGCACCCTGCAATAGATGGAGACGGACTCCACTCCGCGAGCCACGTTGAGGTGACACGCTGCACCCGGCGTGGACACAGGGCCACCGCGACGCAGAGGCGACTTCATGCTCCGGTCTCAAGTCGCGACACGGTGTGTATAAAAACAAAAGTTTGGGAGCTATTAATTGCTGTGTGATTAAGAGACGTTTCCGAGTTTCAAAGACCAAATGTGGCTTAGCTTTAAGTTGCCTAAAGGAAGTTGAGGGGCTGGCGGGGCTGTTGTAACTTGCTCGGGTGGAATCTCTGAACACTGACCGATGCACCCAATGAATACTAAAATGCACTTTAGCTTTGCGTTTGCACTCCTGATGGCGTTTTACACCCACGATGTACTGGGTAAAAATTTGAAATACAGAATTTATGAGGAGCAGAGGGTTGGGTCGGTAATTGCAAGACTATCAGAGGATGTGGCCGATGTTTTATTGAAGCTACCTAACCCTTCTGCCGTTCGTTTTCGAGCCATGCAGAGAGGAAATTCTCCTCTCCTGGTGGTGAATGAGAATACCGGGGAAATCAGCATAGGGTCTACAATCGACCGCGAGCAACTGTGCCAGAAAAACTTGAACTGCTCCATAGAGTTTGATGTGATCACTCTACCCACCGAGCATCTGCAGCTGTTCCATATTGAAGTGGAAGTGCTGGATATTAACGACAACTCTCCCCAGTTCTCAAGAGCCCTCATTCCCATTGAGATATCGGAGAGCGCGGCTGTTGGTACTCGGATCCCCCTGGACAGTGCATTTGATCCAGATGTTGGGGAAAATTCCCTCCATACCTACTCTCTCTCGGCCAATGATTTTTTCAATATCGAGGTGAGAACCAGGTCAGATGGGACCAAGTATGCAGAACTCATAGTGGTGAAAGAGTTGGATAGGGAGCTGAAATCCAGCTACGAGCTTCAGCTCACCGCTTCCGACCTGGGAGTGCCCCAGAGGTCTGGCTCCTCCATTCTGAAAATAAGCATTTCGGATTCCAATGACAACAGCCCCGCGTTTGAGCAGCAAGCTTACACAATACAACTCTTAGAAAACTCTCCAGTCGGCACTTTGCTCCTGGATCTAAATGCCACGGATCCAGATGAGGGCGCTAATGGGAAAATTGTATATTCCTTCAGCAGTCATGTGTCTCCCAAAATTATAGAGACTTTTAAAATCGATTCAGAAAGAGGACACTTGACTCTTTTCAAACAAGTGGATTATGAAATCACCAAATCCTACGAGATTGATGTTCAAGCTCAAGATTTGGGTCCAAATTCGATTCCCGCCCATTGCAAAATTGTAATTAAGGTTGTGGATGTCAATGACAATAAACCTGAGATTAACATAAACCTCATGTCCCCTGGAAAAGAAGAAATATCTTATGTTTTTGAAGGAGATCCCATTGACACCTTTGTTGCTTTTGTCAGGGTTCAAGACAAGGATTCTGGGCTGAATGGGGAAATAATTTGTAAGCTTCATGGACATGGACATTTTAAACTTCAGAAGACATATGAAAACAATTACTTAATCTTGACCAATGCAACTCTGGATAGAGAAAAGAGGTCTGAATATAGTTTGACTGTAATTGCCGAGGACAAGGGGACACCCAGCCTCTCTTCAGTAAAACATTTTACTGTTCAAATCAATGATATAAATGACAATCCACCTCGCTTCCAGAGGAGCCGATATGAATTTGTCATCTCAGAGAATAACTCCCCAGGGGCATATATCACCACTGTTACTGCCGCAGATCCAGATCTTGGTGAAAATGGGCAGGTGACATATACCATTTTGGAGAGTTTTATACTGGGAAATTCCATAACCACCTATGTAACCATTGACCCATCCAATGGTGCCATCTATGCCCTCAGGATCTTTGATCATGAAGAAGTAAGTCAGATCACTTTTGTGGTTGAAGCAAGAGATGGAGGAAGTCCAAAACAACTAGTAAGCAATACCACAGTTGTGCTTACCATCATTGATGAGAATGACAATGTCCCTGTGGTTGTAGGGCCTACACTGCATAATAATACTGCAGAAATCTCCATCCCCAAGGGAGCTGAAAGTGGCTTTCATGTCACAAGAGTAAGAGCAATTGACAGAGACTCTGGTGTCAATGCTGAACTCAGCTGCTTCATAGTAGCTGGGAATGAGGAGAACATCTTCATCATGGATCCACGATCATGTGACATCCACACTAATGTGAGCATGGAGTCTGTTCCTTCCAATGAATGGGAGCTCTCAGTTATCATCCAAGACAAAGGCAATCCTCAACTGCATACCAAAATCCTTCTGAAGTGTATGATTTTGGACTATGTAGAATCTGTGACAAGTACAGCAATGACATCCATCAGCCAGGCATCCTTGGATGTGTCCATGATTATCATTATTTCCTTGGGAGCGATTTGTGCAGTGTTATTGGTTATTATGGTGCTCTTTGCAACAAGGTGTAACCGAGAAAAGAAAGACACCCGATCCTACAACTGCAGGGTCGCAGAGTCAACTTACCAGCATCACCCCAAAAGGCCATCCAGGCAGATCCACAAAGGAGATATCACATTGGTGCCTACCATCAATGGCACTCTGCCCATCAGATCTCATCACAGATCCTCTCCATCTTCATCTCCAACCTTAGAAAGGGGGCAAATGGGCAGCCGCCAGAGTCAGAACAGTCACCAGTCACTCAACAGTTTGGTCACAATCTCATCAAACCACGTGCCGGAGAATTTCTCATTAGAACTCACCCATGCCACACCCGCTGTTGAGGTAAGATCATAAACTACATCGTCTGGCAATGCCACTTGTTAGAGTTCAGAGGTTGAACAGTAATCACACCTTAAACTTTGTGACTGATAAGTGATAATATGCAAGTCCAGTAGGATTCAAGTCACAGTGTGTACCTGTGTGTATACACCTTAACATACTCCTCCATTTTGCTTAAAGAATTCACCTGCATATAATTTGTATTATGTCAGGAAACAAATGTGAAGCTCACACGGAGGACTACCTGAATAGAGTATCTTCACTTCCCAGCTAAAGATGCTGGGAAGTCAAAAACCTTATTTTCACTGTTAAAAATCTATCCTGAAAAATAAAAAATGGGGCCTTCAGCATCCAGTACCTGTACATGTTATATCTGTAAAACTTTGCACATTTTCTGGCTTTGTTTGAGCTAGCTTTGTTACAGTGCATTTTTCTAGGTTTTCTAAGTATTTTATATCTGACCATTTTATCTGAACTGTAAAGGAAATCAAGCAGTTTTTTAAAAGGAAATCTTTCAAGAATGAAAAACTCAGTTGGACTGAGATTTTCAAAATATCTCTGCAATATATTTTGGTAGTATTGGTGGATGACTGTGCAGGCTGCCACAGTCCAGCATGTATAAATCATTGAAATATAGACCCATGTGCAGTCAGTATGTGAGTGCTTGGTGCTTGTTTTCAGAAATTAGTCCTGTCTCTTTGGTTTCTAGCAGGTCTCCCAGCTTCTCTCCATGCTCCATCAGGGGCAATACCAGCCAAGGCCAAGTTTTCGAGGGAACAAATATTCCAGAAGCTACAGGTATGAATTATCTTTGCATTATCAATTAAGTCTCAAATAACATAAAGGCTGAAGAATAAAACTCTTTTTCTTTCACTGATATTTCTAGATATGCCCTTCAAGACATGGATAAATTTAGCTTGAAAGACAGTGGCCGTGGGGACAGTGAAGCAGGAGATAGTGATTATGATTTGGGACGAGATTCTCCAATAGATCGGCTGCTGGGGGAAGGATTCAGTGACCTGTTTCTCACGGATGGAAGAATTCCAGCAGGTAAGAGGATAATGATAGCTAAATCTGTATTTCATATCTACTACCATTCCAAGAAAATGAACAATTTTCTTCCATGCTTCTATTTCTTCTTTCTTTGTCCTTTGCACTAAAATATTTGTAATCTGCACAGCAGTAACAATGAAGAGAAACGGTGACACTTCATAATTATCTTCTTAAAAGCCAGTTGAAGGCAAGGAGCAAGCACGAGGGCTCAGACACCATAAGAAGGAAGGGTGGAGAGGAGTGAATAGAAACCCAAACCACTTCCCTCCTCTCTCCACCCTTTCCAGCACTGTCATAGGACAGCCACTCTGGAGCAACTCTTTATAAAATTACTGGGTGGCTGTTTTTATTCAGACAGCCTGTTTAGTGAATAGTGGTGAACTGAACTATAATTTGGAGGATGAACTTCCTGTGATGGGAACCAACTCACAAAATCAGAGACTAAAATATACTGAAAAGGGTATACTTTAAGCACTAAAAATAGGAGAAAGAATGCACCTTTGTAGGTGGTAAACAGAACATATTTCATGCTATCTTTCCTTTTGCACCTGCCCTGTAATAGAGGAGAAATACAGACCTGGAGATAAAGTTTATAAAGCACACAGTCAGGGGGAGGAGATTCTATTAAGTTTTGAACCACTTTTCTGTTAGTGTCTCTTCCCTCTAATTGTGTGGTAGAAACTCTGATCCGACTGAGTAAATATTGAGGACACCAATATAGCAACCCTGTTGCTAAGGACTGTAATATGAAATCAACCCTTAAGAACACAGAAATGTTACTCTGACTACCTCTATGTCTAGGTTCATTGGATGTCAATCAAATGACTGCCATTTGCCAATACACCAAGGAGAGATCAATACTCTGTCATCCATCTTACTTCTAACATCTATTTTATTCATAAAGCTAAATAATGGAGTATAGAAAATATGAGGTAGTCTTCAAAAATTCATGAAAAGTCAGTAAATAGAATTTTAGCTCTTGTGAGTTATAGGAATCATGTGGCAACAGTTAAAGCAGCAACAGAAGTACCAGCTGTGCCTCAGCTTCCCCTGGCCCAGGCTGAGTAGTCCTGGTCTACATGGAATGCTTGAGCTGCATTGTCTTTCTCTAGGTTTTGACATTGAACTTAACTGCAGTGGTGAGTTGTTGACTATGTAAATTTCCATGACTAAACTTCCCATGATTTTAAGAATACTGATGTTATGCCCATTGGAATTGGAGTTATAATGGTGATGGTAACTGTAGTGTTCATGTTTTCTCAGATATGAAAGCTGGGAATTTACAAAGGTTAGAAAATGTACCCCAATTAGACATGCTTTGCCTGCTGGAGGTGAGATAGTGAGATTTGAGCCAATGTCTATCCCCTTTAACCACTAGCTTATGACATATGAGACAGCAGGTGTTTCATTTTTAAGTAAACTTACTTGCTCTTTGTGTGTGTGTGTGTGTGTGTGTGTGTGTGTGTGTGTGTGTGTCCATCTGTGTCCATGCAGAGTCTAAGGACAATGGGTGTTTTCCTTTATGCTCTTTGCCTTGTTGCCTTGAGACAGGTGTTTCACTGACCCCCAAAGCTTAAGGAAGGATACAGCTATGCTGGCTGGTCAGTGAGCTCCCAAGGTTTGCCTGTCTCTGCCCTTCTAATACAGGTGTTACAGCTACACACAGCCATGCAAGATTTTTTATATGAGTGATGAAGTTTCAAACTGAGATCCTTTCACTGGCAAAGCAAGCACTCTTACTAACTGAGCAATTTCCCAGCTCCCATATTTGCTCTTATATGCTGAAAATCCACCGGCTTCTGTGCAGCTATTAAAGGTTACTTGCCCAGTCATGTTATTACAGGGATAGATACTGCACTCCTGACTAGATAAATGTATAGGAAGGCCTTTAATGTTACTGAGGACTAGTATGTCCTATATTTGCACAATGGCCCATGGAATTTTTTTCCAAAATTTATAGATTTCCTGGACTAATTTGAAGATCAAGTTAGATGCCCTGAGACATCATGCTCAAAACCATTAGTTTTATAATTCTCGCTCAGATAATGAGGTAGCTGGCTAACTGTCTATGATTCTGTGATATTGTGATACTATCAGGATCCTAACCTAGAATAATGAAATTCCAAGATTACATTATTCCATAAACAGACACACATGGACATAATATCAATACTGTATTATATATTTTAAATGCATGCTGTTTATTTACTGAAATTTATCTTTATCATAGCAGTAAAACAGAGAAAATCATTCTAGGTATTCTTGCCATACTTGGGACAAACAATGCCTGATGTTCACTATAATCCTGAAATCATATAATTCCAGTTATCAAGGAGTTTCTTATTTATTTTTTCATTTGTTCATTTGCTCACTCACTTATTCATTAATTCATTCATGCTTTCATTATTTACAGTTCTGGAAACTGAACACAGAGGATCATACATGTGAAACATGTGTTTTGTCTCTTAGCTATACCTCTAGTCTCTGAATTTTTAGAAAAAAAGTCAAGATTCCTCTTCTTTTTCCTGTGTTTTCAAAGTTACCATCTCTTCATATATTCATGGCAGGAGAGTTATCTGCTACTTGAACTAAATAATAATAATAATAATAATAATAATAATAATAATAAAAAAAAAAGGTAATGTCTAGGAAATAGTGAGGCATTCATATAAGTACATTTAACTCCAACAACATTAAATAATTGTTCAGAATTATACACTATATATGTGTGTGTATTTCCAAAAATATCTATTTATAGAAGATATATTTCTGCTTAAGTTTTTGCTTCTACTTGAGGCTCAGCTATTCTGGAGTTACAGAGAACCTGGAAATGACCAGTGGTTTGTGATCAGTGCATTATGTTTATGTTTGTCCTGCATGTACTGTACTGTGAATACTGAGTGTCTATAGAGATAACCATCTTTTAATCAGAAGCATCATTGTGGTGATGCTGTATGAGTATCTTGATTACGATTAATTCTGGTTACTTCTGCAGGCGCATTAGTGTTTAAAACTTGTGGTTTGCAGAAGTAGCTACCCAAAAATTAGTCTGAATAGAGAAAAATGTTGTTCTACATCTGAGTCTTATTAACAGAGGTCATCACCTTTTTCAAAAGTATGTATTTTTTAGAACTTATTTCTCTCATGCCAACTGGTTTTTTTTTTTTTTTCTGTGTTTGTTTGTGAACTAATATAGATTGTGTTGCACTGCATGGCCTGCCAGCAGGATCATTCCTGGTCATTCATTCTTCTAATTCTCACACAAATGTCCTAACACTTGTGGAACAACTAAAAGAGCATTCATTTTTGTCTGTTGGCTCATGTTTATAAATTATTTTCTTTCTTATTCATTCAACTTTGAACATTAGAACTAAGGATAAAAGCCTACATTTTCCCAGAGTATTTTGTCACACCTGGATGGTTTGTAAAGTCTTTGATTTTGTTTCTTGTTATGCTTCTTCCTGATTGAATCTGTTCCACTTCCCATCACCTGTCCTCTGTGAGTACTTCAAATGCTCTTTTTAACTCTGTGTGATCTATCTGCTCTCCTGGTAGATGTCCTAGCTCTGTCCTTCCAGGGCTAGTTTACTCTTCCAATGGACACAATCAATACTTTGCCTGGTGGCACCCTCCACTGTCAAATTTTTGATTTGTACACCTTCAACAACCTTTTCGGAACATTTTAACATGCATGTATTTGGCTCAAGATTAATACCTGACTTTTGTTGTCCAGAAACACTGAGCAATTCTATTATCTTTGCAATGCAGTGATGTAGCTTTATATCTTTTTCCAAAGTCCAATGAAATGAACTCATAACCTGTTTTCAATTTTGTGAATTTTGAATCCTTTTATTATTATTTTTTTATGTGTATGCGTGTATTGCTTGCATGTGTGTAAGTGAATCCATGTCATGCAATGCCTACAGAGGATGGAAGAGGCCATCAAATCCACTGGAACTGGAACTATGGACAGTTGTTAGCTGCCATGTGGGTGCTGGGATTCAAACCTGGGTCTTCTGCAAGAACAGCCAGTGCTCTTAACCTAACCACTGTGCCATCTCTCCAACCTGAGTTTTGAATCTTTTGCAACCATCAGGGGCATATCTTCTCTAATTGATCTTTTGTGCAGGCTGCCCTACAACATTCTTTCAACTGTCTTTCTTTAAAGATACCGGCCTTCGTCTCTACTTGCTTTTCTTTTTTAAACATATCCAAGCATTGTCTCATTTGCCATTTTACCTGGACACTGATGACATCATTTACTACACTGGGCATAGAACTAGATTACTTCTCTTTTGCGGGCAGAGAACTGCAACGGCAGTCCATATATGACAGGATATTAACAGACAACTGACAAGTCACTCAGAGACTAATGACAATGAAAGCTTCATGCATGTTTTCTTTCTTAGACTGAATGTGCTGTTTTCTGCCCTACTTTTAGTGCGTATTACAGAGGTAAAAACTCATTTTCATGTCGTGGGACAGAAGAGCTTCTGCTTCTGTGTCCTCATCTACAGGGAAAACAACTGCCTGACAAATTTCCAAAGATTGCCAAGAGTAGCAGAAAAGATAGCTGCTTTTTCCTTGGCCCCAGATTTGGGTGGAACATTTTTTGGACTGGGTCACAGTCCTAAAATACACTGTCAAACAGTAGAATCCCTTGGGAATGAGGATGCCCATGACAATGACAGTGCTTTCCTCTGCTCTTCCCACTGCCTTCTTCCTTCTCATTTCCTTCTCCCACCTCTTTCCCCACTGTATTAGTTACTTTTCTGTTTCTGTGATAGAAACACTGACCAAAGCAATTTACAGAAGGAAGAGTTTATTTGAGCTTATGGTTACAGGAGAATTACAGTCTGTCATGGCAGGAAGGCATGGAGGCTGGGGGTGGCTGGAGCAGGAACAGCAGAAGCTAAGCTCTCACATCATCATGCAGGCACAGGAAGCAAGAGAGTGACTGGAGATCCGGCTAGGCTTAAGAACTCTCTAAGCCCAACCCCAGTGACGTGCTTCCTCCAGGATAGTCACACCTTCTAAGACCTCCCAAAACAGCGTCATCATCTGGGGACAAAATATCCAACTACTTGGAGCCTGTGGGGGACATTTTCATTCAAACCACCACACCTACTGACTTTTTCTCTCCTTTTTTCCCCCCTCGTCTTCTCCATTAGTCTTCCTTTATCATTTTTCTTTATCCTTTTTTCCGTTTTCAAGTATGCATGTATGTTGTATATTTTGCATACACATATTTGTATACATCCTGGCACGAGTGTGTGTGTGTGTGTGTGTGTGTGTGTGTGTGTGTGTGTGTGTATGTACCTGGATGCTCTTGCATGTGGCAGCCCATGGTGATTTTGAGATCATCCTCAACAGAATTCTACCCAATTCAGTGAGGTAGCTTCTCTCCATCAAATCCAGAGCTCATGAATACAACTAGTCTTGTTGGCCAGCTTGCACTGAAGATCCACTCTCTGTGTTATCAAAGGCCAGAATTATAGGCAGATCACTTGGCCCACCTCGCATTTATGATATTTCTGAACTCCAGTCATCACACTTGTATAGCAAGTGCTTTAACCACTAAGCCATCTCCTTATCCCTAATTTTTTTTCATTTTAAGTCAATTATTTCTTAATTAAATTCTCACTTATTTATTGAATTGAAGTTGTAAATACCACTCACAATGGAATTTGCATTTCAATAATCCTTCCTGAAATAAAAGTTAGTTTTTATCATAAACTTTCAGATTCTTTTAGTCACTCAGCTTGTGCTGTTGTATTGTGTTTTGTCTGCATGTTCATTTTATTTAGGTCTTAAGAAAAGTTAATCATGTTTCTTCATGATTCTTAGAATTCTTTTTAGTTAATCCTCCTCATTAAACATTAAAGTAAATAAAAGCAATTAGACATTACAGCAAAGAAGTCCTTCTCAAGTTTAAAACCACAGAGTTCAAGGCCAGAAAAACAATGTGAGGTTTGTCTCCTTTCTGTCAGGGTAGGAGTGTGGTAACATACATAGGTCTCATTCTATTTTCAGAGATCCAAGGATTTAAGAGGAAAAAACTCGATACCACTGGGTAGGCATTTTACTGCTGAGGAAACCCCAGGTCTGCTTAAGGAATTCCATTGCTTTCAGCTCCTTTTGCTGTTTTCCTCATCAAATGAAGAACATGGGTTGATAAATACTTTCTAGTAATATAATGCATGAAATCAGGACATCTGCCTGTCTTTATTTAAATCACCCTGTTTTCTCCATGTTTCATTTTTATTCAGGGCAGTTACACAACAGCTTCTCCATGAGCACACTTTCTTTGTCTGCCTTGAGCCTCTGACACTTTCTCATTGTTTTCTCACATTTTAAAACTTCTGGGTTCTTATAATCCAGCCCTTTTTCTTACAACACTTAGTCTCATTCTTTCCTCATATTTCCCCATTTTCAATTAAGAACAGAGGAGAGGGGGCAGTTTAAGAACAATATTAGCTTGAAGATCAGTAATAAAGAGCAGTGACTTCATAGTTTAGAAGACTATTGCTTCTCTTTTTCTATTTATTTTCATTTAGGAACTGTCTTTTGAGCACATATTCAGTGCAGGTCCTTTAACACCAAATGTAGATGCCACAGTGGCCATAGTAGGTAACTTCTCCCCCTACAAGGTAACGTGTTATCTCCAGCAGGCACAGGTTCAGCCAAATATAGGTGGAAGTCTCTTAAGTAGATAAATCTGTAAAATTAGCTCTGGATATATTCTTATGACTAGCATCAATCCTATTTTCTGTCAAATCAAAGAAATTCTATTCTTGTTCTAAAATGAAATGGTTCCAAAAGACCAAGTTTTCTTTGAAATAATTATTTTAGAGAGCATTTTTCATATATTTGCATTTTGTCTTTTTCATGAAGTTTAGCTACATTTAGCATTTTCCCCCTCTTTAGTTTTCTGCTTTCTCATGTGTATTATTTTCTATGAACGTGGCTGCTTGCATTCCAATGGGGTATCAGAATGTCTGGAGGAATTAGGAATGTATTTTTCATATTCTCCAGCTTTTATGACTTTTCTGTATAATTGAATAGTAATATATTTCAGATCTTGAAATGAAGACCTCATTACAGAGCAACTGAGAATACCTACAGTAGTAAATAGGAACACGTTAGGCTGATTTTTAAAATAAGTCAATAAATAATTTATAAAACCTTAAGACAGATTGGTAAACACAATAACTAGAGAATTAAACATTTAAAAATATTTTTATTATATTTATTATTATATTATTTTATTATTATTATCATTATCATTATTATTATTATTATTACTTGTATGAGTGCATTGCCTGCATGTATGTAAGTCCACCTGTGTTGTACAATGCCTGCAGAGGGCATTGGATTCCCCTGGAACCTCAGTTAAGGCTGGTTGTTAGCTGCCGTGTGAGTACTGGGAATTGAGCCTGAGTCTTCTGTAAGAGAAGCCACTGCTCTTAACTGCTGAGCCATCTTTCCAGCCCCTAGAGAGCCAATTATACATTGCCTCCACGGAAATAAAAAGTAAGACACAAAGACCTTAATATTAAGGTAGTTACCTTAATAAAAGTACTATGGAAAGATTATCTGGTATTCTTTCACCTTGAAAGTCTATTTTGTTGTTGTTTTATAGTTTATGTTAACCTTTTGTTTGACCATCTATACTGGTAATTTTCATGTGTAAATTATCAGCCCATTTTCATATCACTCCAGTAGTAGACTATTTCTAAGTACATGTGTGAACAACCCCTTTTCTTATTCAGTAAATGAAAAGATATACCAGCAAATATGACTTCTGTCCATAAAGCTAGCATTCATATTAAAGCTGTAACTGTAGTCTAATGTCTTTAACAACAGATTAACATAACGGGGTAATAGTACAAACTGTTCTATTTATAAGAAAATAAAGACATTTCTCATCATTGTGAGTGATGCAGTATGTAATAATGGCTCCTTCTTGCTTTTCTTGGCCTCAGCTATGAGGCTATGCACGGAGGAGTGCAGGGTCCTGGGCCACTCTGACCAGTGCTGGATGCCCCCGCTCCCCTCGCCATCCTCTGACTACAGGAGCAACATGTTTATTCCTGGGGAAGAATTCCCAGCTCAACCTCAGCAACAGCACCCACATCAGAGCCTTGAGGATGACAGCCAGCCTGCAGAATCAGGGGAGAAGAAGAAGAGCTTTTCCACCTTTGGGAAGGACTCCCCGAGTGATGAGGACTCTGGGGACTCCAGCACATCGTCTCTGCTTTCGGAAATGAGCAGTGTGTTCCAGCGCCTGCTCCCTGCTTCCCTGGATACCTATTCTGAGTGTAGCGAGGTGGACCGGTCTAACTCTCTGGAACGTCGGAAGGGCCCAGTGCAGGCCAAAACTGGGGGCTACCCACAAGGGGTGGCGGCCTGGGCAGCCAGCACTCATTTTCAGAATCCCACCAGCAACTCTGGGACACCTCTGGGAACTCACTCCAGCGTGCAGCCTACTTCCAAATGGCTGCCAGCTATGGAGGAGATTCCTGAAAACTATGAGGAAGATGATTTTGACAATGTGCTCAACCACCTTAACGATGGGAAACATGAACTCATGGACGCCAGTGAGTTGGTGGCTGAGATTAACAAACTGCTGCAAGATGTCCGTCAGAGCTAGGAGACTTTAGCTGAGTGCTTGTGTTTCCATGTATTTGGAATGAGGAGACAGGGAAAACCCCTGAAAGAACTGGCTTTGCCAAATAGTTGCATTTATCATAAATGTGTCTGTGTATATTGAATATTAAATACTGTATTTTCGTATGTACACAATGCAAGTGTGATTATTTTAATCTGTATTTTAAAAATACATTTGTACCTTATATTTATGTGTAATTTAACAGACAAATTTTATTTTTTTACTCCCATGACAAACATGTCTTTCCTAATCATACAGGAAGTAGCCACTGTTGTTTAAATCTATATCCTATTCAACCACAAAGTATAAAGGTACTGTTTAAATTAGTTAAGTTGGGGCAGGATTATTATGCTATATGAACAACCCCACTAAAGCATTATGTAATTCTTAGTTTCGTTAAATGATGCAACTTCTTTTCCAATACTTAAACATATATGCATTTTTTAAAATGTTAAGCTATTTTATGATTATTCTTTTCACGCTTTCTGTTAGCTCTGATAGTTCAATTCCTTCAGCAAAATGGAATAATGAAGCAAAATTTTATCTTAGGACTGAGAATCGCCCTGAGATATTTATGGGGAGGCTATGCCAAATGAATTTTTCACAGATAATGGTATAGGCAGCAATGAGTTGCTATTTCGTAGCTCTGAGGCTGCTACAATTGCAGCACCTCACACTGGCCTGGTCTTGAGAATATTTACGGATACTACGATGTCTACTTATGATTATGGTGAACAATGAATTCTTGCCTTTCCATCATCACCATATGAAACATGAGCCAATGAAATGAAATCTGTACTTTAAATGAATAGCAGTATGTATTCTACCAGCATAGAATCTAAATAGACAAATGTAGATATGTCTGTGTGCCCCCAGGGCAGTAAACAGAATTGATTTATTTTGAAGCTTCTATTTGAATCTTCTTCCCTCACACAGTACTTGAACATTTAAACTATTGCTATATTTTTGGCTCTATTCACTTTTTGCCTTTGTCTGCAATGCATGCTCATAGTTTTGCTTGTATTTTTAGTGTATGAACATTTATAAAGTCACGTTTTATTACTGAAATTTTGTTTTATTAGTCTGTGACAAATGAGAACGCCTTTATTTATTGTGCTGTTACCTCTCTGTGTGGAATGCCTTGGTACAGATATCCTTATTAAGACTATTATCATTTATGACCAAGCTTCTATGAATGTTATTTCTATTAATACAGTATGTTGATTGTACTCTCCAGAAAATTTTACTGTCAGTGAAAATAAAAAGAAAATTGAAGCAAAGCCAAGGAACTTTCTATCAATTAGACTCCTGCTCCAATGTATGTTTTTAAAAGCTTTGCAATCTTAAAACTTTTCCTGAAGGGGATTCAGGGTAGGGCTTCAAATGATGGGAAGGGAATGGCCAAATGGCTTGGCAACCAACAAAAATACGTGAGGAAGGGAGTAAATTTGAGACTTTTCATAGGATGGAAAGTAGTTGATTGTGTTACATCTGGATTGTATGATATAAATGTATTTGTAGTGCAAAGAAAAATATCAAGCAAACAATAACTGTTTTAATATTTTTCAGATTACAAAAGACCTTTTGCAGAACATTTTATGCAAAGTTGTGCAACAAGAAAAGATAACCTTACAATCTTTCCAAGAGGCTAAAATACTCCCTCCTTGGCTTATCAGCAGGGAATAAAAATGCTAGGGAATTGAGGTAACCTGAAAGTGGCTAAAACTAAGATATTTAAATTCTCAAATGAATCCCACATTAAATAGAGTGCATTATCTCTTTTAAAAGGCGCTTTGCCTTCATAGGAGCGACTGCAATTACAAGAGCAAATTTTCAGTTTATTTTTCAGTAGATTACACACACACAAATGCTAAACTCATTTAAATACATTTTGCCCTTCAACTTCACTTCCTTCCAGTATATGTTATCATTAAGGAAAAGACCTTCATAACTTCACTGTTCTTAATTTAAAGCATCAGCAGTAATTGAAAGGGCAAAGCTGGAAATAGATATTCTGAATAATGAAGAATAGGTAAAATTCAACATTCTGTTCAACACAAAATCTTTGTGTAACATCCCCACACAGCATTCCTTGTCTCCAACCCCTGGGTTCTCCAGGCTTCTCCATTTATTATAGCAAACTATGTCCACAGTTTAAAGGAGTATTAGTCTAAGATTTAAGATTTTTCTATGTTATTTCTATCCCCAGTAATATTTTCATAAATACTGGGATGTCTGGTGCTATTATGCTGGCATAACTTCTCATTAAGTTTTTAGTCTCCTCCTTGTTAGTAAAACAAACCCCTTTGGTTTGAAACAAACACAAAAACATCTAAAGATATCTTTCTATATCCATTATTCCTCATTCACTCTAGCCCCAGTGGATTTCTTTCAAGATGCCTCAGTAACAATCATCTGCTAAGGAAATTGTTTTCCAAAATTGTAATTTAGCTGGGTGTGGTGGAACACTCCATTAATCCCAGGACTCAAGAGGCAGAGGCAGAAGAAAATTTGTGAGATCTTAAGCCAGCTTGGTCTACATAGTGAGTTCTAAGCCAGCTGGAACTACAAAGCAATCCTGTGTCAAAAAGACGGAAAAAAATAAATAAATAAAAAGTAAAACTTGTAGCTCAACCCTGAATATGCTGCCTAATAAGTCCTCATTTAATATTTGTCTATAGAATATGAATGAGGAGACTCAGCTGCCTCCAAATTCTCAATCATTATTCATATTGATACTCATTTTTCGTTCTTTCTTAGTATTTAGCAGATAGCAGCTCAAAACTTTGTTAATCATTTAAATTCATGTTCCTGTCATCTAGGAATCAAATTTGTCTCAAATATGAAATCATTAAGACAGAAATGGCTCTGCTTATCTTACTGGATAAGCCACATTGGAATTGGTTTAGTTTCCTTATTTCATTCTTTTCCTACTAATGTCAGAACATTTTCAAAGCTTAATGCAAATTATTGTCACACTGAAACTCAAATAACTGCAGATCTATTTGAAAGGCCAGTAACTTCATATTGAGTGAGATGGATGGGTCAAAATCGCATCTTCAAAGTGGGCCGTCTGAGATCCCGCATACTGAAGTATGTCTACACACTGCTCCTTTATAATGGCCCCAGGGATGCAATAAATCTGTTTGATTTTTTTTCTGCTTAAAAAAAACTGAAAAATTTTAAATTGTTTTGATTTTTCTGTTTCAACCATAATATCTTGATAACATGTCATCCTAATATCAAAGTTTAACTATGGAGACTTTGGATGAGAAAAAAATAAATGCAAAAAAATTAAAGTAAAAAGGCTCAAAGATTTAAGTGGTTTTAAAATTATTCAGTAGGAAATGTATTGTATAAGAGATAGCATATCTTAGTTACTTAATATTTTCCATTCCCCTGTGTGTGTTTGTATGTCTGCATGCATATGGACACACATTCACATGGGTGTGTGCATGCATGTTGAGGCCCAAGGTTGGTGTCAGGAATTATCTTCCATAGCTCTTTCACTGTATTCAATAAGGCTGAGTCTCTCGATCAAGCATAAAGCTTGTTGAAATAGCTAGTCTTTGCAACCCGCTTGCTCAGGGGACCCAGTTCAGGTAGGCTGCCATACCCATCCGACATTACAATGATTTGGCAATCCGAAACAGAGATCGCATGCTTACCATGCCAGTGTTTTAACTGCTCAACCATCTCCCCCACCCTAAATTACGTAATTTTTCAATTGCAGATTAAATTTACAAAACAAGACTTCTTTGGGGTTCGAAAGTTGTCTTATGCTGTGAAAATGTAAGATACCAAAGGAACTGTTAACACTTATGATTTGATTTCTCTAATTATGATGGACAGAACTAATTCTATATGTTTATACAAACTGAAGCTAATTTGATAAATTAGGATATTTGGATAAATGAAAAGTCATCTGCTCCAGTTCATTTCTGAGGGTGATTTCTAGAATTACCACATGCTATGGAGAGCACTACACTGATGCAAAAAAACTTTATTACCCAAATTATATTTTAATTTGACATTTATTTCATCAGAGTCGGAGTCCAATATATACATTCTGAAGTAAGTAATAGGGACTGTGATTATAATCTAAACCAAAAATTACTGTATAGCCCTATAGTACATAGTAAAGGAGAAAATACTAGCATATATTTGCTATTAATTTGTTGTATTTTATTATATTCTAGCTTACACAACTTAAGGAGCTGTTAGAACATTTTATGGGGAGCTGGCATCATCAAAATTGCTACCAAAATTTACATACTTTTCTGACTTCTCAAGTTACATTGCATCCTTCTCTGACACTCAAGAATAATTGTTTTCTATATCCCTTTATAGCTTCTGCAAGGAGCTCTTAATTCTTGTTTGTCTTCTCAGGGTTTATCTCTTCAATTCATTTAGTGGCATTTTTCCTAGGTAATTATTGTACTGTCCGCATACATAGCACCCATCTCCAAAGTTTCACAGGGTTATAGCTCTTCCTATAACTACCTAGATTTTTATCGCATTTCTATTGTCTTTTCTTTTTATGGACAAAACAGCATATTTTTATATACAAACCTAATATTTTTCATTTTCAGTAAACCTTGCTATTCTGACTCTTAGTTTAGTGGAAGGGTAAATTCACTAAAAAAAATACACAAAATGAAATTTGTTTTTATTTCAAGTTTTAAATTATTTTTAGTGTCTAAGTGACTAATATCAAAAGTAATTATTCAAAGAGGAAATAGTTTTTTGTTCAAAAATATAAAACATTTTTCTTTATGTATTAAGGGATGGAGCTGGGAAAGAGGAGCTTAGAATTTTACTATAAACTGAAATTAAATGCCAAATAAATTAAAATATTAAGAAAGCCACATCACATGCATGTACATGTCTCTCTCTCTCTCTCTCTCTCTCTCTCTCTGTTAATAGGTAATTATTGTGAGTATGAAGCCCTTGGGTTGAATAAATAGAGGAGGGCAAATATATCAGCTGTTGATATCTTTAGTCTCCCAGTCACAATCTTCAGAAGAAATCATGAAACAGAACTTAGGAGGAAGTTGCTTCATTCCCCTAACCTCTTGGACCAGAAGTGCAGGTATCTATGGGAGACATTCCAGGTGGTCTGAATGTCTAGGGAGCGTGTCTCCTGTTCTGCACCTTTGGTTGACTGGACAGCCAGTGTCTAAAAGAAGCAAGGGTTGAGAGCATAACACCTGTTACATTTCAAACTGCTTTCATCTAAATGAAGACAAGCACTCTAAAAGCCCTAGGTCCATTCTTGTTTTATTAAAAAGTACATTCTGTGGCTTAAAATAGCTAACCACAACATATTCTAGACAGGAGCAATGCAGACCTTTGCTCTGGAAGTTGGTCATTGTGTTAAACAGTGTTTTTGGTCCTAAATTAACTACACAACTTCCAGTAAATCTTATTACCTGTGATGAAATAAATTTTTAAAAAATGCAAATAGAAACGTTGTATGAATTTTAATCAGAGAAATGTCTGGCCAGTGCTTGTCTGGCCACTGGATTCCTCCTGTATAGTGGTGCCAGGAAGCGATCAATGCAATGTGAAGTTGGACTTCGTCAGCTTCCACTCTAAGGACTTTTGTTGGCTGCATGGTGGCTGGTTGGCAAAAATAACAAAAACAAACAAACAAACAAACAAACAAACAGAAAAAAAAAAACCAAAAGTGTTGCCTGGTAGTGAGCAAAGCATACCTATGGGAATGGGCTCAGAGGGCCAGCTGCCATTTGCACCCAGCCAGTCTTTGTGTTATATTTCTTGCTTTGTCCTAGTTTTGCTCCTTGAACAGAGAGAGGGTCAGGCTCCATGGAATCCCCCCCTAAATCAGGAGAAACAGTTGCATTTCAGTTTATTTTTATTTGCGTGTGTGTGTGTGTGTGTGTGTGTGTGTGTATGAGGGTTTGTGCATGGAGGTAAGAGGACATATCTAGTTTGAGACAGGTTTTCTTGTTCAACACAGAATATTCCAGGCTAGCCGAACTTTCCAGAATTGTCCTTGCTCCACTTCCTGTCTGTGTAGGCACACCAGGGTTACAGGTTCATGCTACCATGCCCAGCTTCATGTGGGTTCTGGCAATCCAAACTCAGGTCCTCATACTTGTGTAGCAAGCTCTTTACGTATTGAAACTTTTCTCCAGTTACATTTGAAATTTCAAAGATGATGTTCCAGAACCACCCTTCCAAACATTCATAGGCAATATTTGCTGAAGAGGTCACAAAATACATGAACAATGTGGTTTCCAAATTAGTACT